GACATCAACTTCTCGATTTTGGGTTCCTGTAATCATATTTTTTTCTATTACAGAGCAACGCGAGGATCCTCGAATGGACAGGCTCGTCCGGGGGAAAAGGACGGCGTTAAGTAAGACCGGCGTGAATTTTTACTCTTGCCTATTGTCTAGTAAATGATGTACCTAGCCCAGGAGTCGCTATTTTAAAGGCGTGATTGAGACGTTGACGGTAATCACTCATCATCCAATGAACTGTTTGGTCTCGTGCCATCTTATAAAAATAATAATCATATTGTAAGCTACCTGAGTAAAATACAGGCCAACAGTGGTAGGTGTTGGCGCTGGCAACACTGTATACCGGATATGACGTTGTCTACTCGAGCCAAGGGACACATGGTCGCATTAAACAGCGGTCACTTGGATTTTGGCTGCGGTCCCGGTCGGTGATATAACCAATAGTTCTGCTTGTTGTTATAATAGTTGTAAATAGTCAAGTTAAGTAATAGTTAAAATATTAGGATCAAGGTGAAAACGTTAGAACTCTTATACACGTAATAGTTTACTGTTGCAGGAATGGGCAGGTCCGCCTGGGGAAGGTCCATGACCTGACAGAAGACCGACGTGAAGTAGAAGTGTTAAAATTTCGTCTGGTGAGTGAGGTAGCCGGGGCCCACTTTATTTAAAGGTGGCAACGCATTCGCAACCCTACGATTGTTTCAAATGTCCACGGGCGGCGATTATCACTTAACATCAGGTGAACCGCCAGCTTTCATAATTTTTACTTGTTTCCTTATAACATAATGTGTTGCGATAATAATGTTATTTCATACCATTACCTACAATACCAACGATATGTACGAATAAATTCACTTCAAATGGAGACGTATTTCTTGGAGTCGCGCTAAAATATGAGGATATTATTTGTCCCACATCTTCACTTATTTTGGCGCGGGAAAGGTGAGTTGGATGTAAGTAAAGTACATAAACCCTTCTTGATAGACGCTTGGTAACGATAATTCGTTTTATGCAAAGTGCTCCTTCCCATGTTCTCTACAGTGCCGTCTCAAACATAAAGCTTCCCTGGAATAGACTTATGAGCACGAAAAATTGATTCTAACAATTAATCGCAATAATACTACTTACATACGTCTCTAACATGGGAATACTTGTGACATCTTTATTCAAAAATGATAAATTAATATGCCAGAATTGCGTCTGTTGGTTTACCTTTCTTGTAGCAAAAGGTGCAGATCGCCTGATTTTTATCGAGATAGTTTATAACCCGGATAGTGACGTACGGTACTTCAAAGCAGGAAAAGTACAACGCTTTAATTAAAGTATAAAGTAACAGCCTATACATGTCCCACTGCTGGGCAAAGGCCTCCTCTGTACAGAGGGTATCAGGGCATAGTCCACCGCGCGGCCCTACTGCGGATTGGCGGACTTCACATATCTTCGATGTTTTTTTATGAAATATTATATTATATATATATATATATATATATATATATAATATGATTTTTTTTATTAAATATATATATTTTTTGTTATTATTTCGAAAATATGCAGGTTTCCTCACGATGTGTTCCTTCACCGCGGAACACGTGATAAATCAGCACTTAAAGTTAAAAACTTAATTGGTGCCGGCACCGGGAATAGAACTCAGGTTGCTCGAGTATTTTGAAAGGCGAGCGCCCGGACACTGAGCTATCACGGCTCTTAACATATTAATTATAGTATAATTGCAGTAATTATAGTGTTATGAAAAACTGTTGCCATAAAGTCTATAAAAAGTTATATGGTCTAGCTTCCTGAAGAGCTCGATTTATGTAAAGGTTCGAGTTGTTTATGGTAGTAGCCTGTATCGCAACACTCTTTTCGGAGTGAGCGTCAAGTCTTTATTTGCGAAACTAATCAATTCCTGCCTGACGTTAACTCGCGTTGGGAAAGAAACACCCAGATCCGGAACCGTGGGTTCGATTGCCACCATTGTCCCGTGTGGGAATCTAACCCACGACCCCGGACGCCGAAGCCAATAGAAGCGAATTGATGACGGCACCACCGTGTCAGATATGCTGGTATCTTGTTCTATCACTACATAGTATGAAAAAAAAGTCGTCCCGCTGTCTGTGTGTCCCTATGTATGCTTAAATCTTTAAAACTACGCAACGGATCTTGATGGGGTTTTTTTACCAGGTAGAGTGATCCAAGAGGCAGGTATATTTGCATATTTATATGCATTATACTTTGCTCCCGCGCGAAGCCGGGGCAAGTCGCTAGTCACTACATAGTATAACACAAAGTCGTGCCGCTGTATGTCTGTCCCTGTGTATGCTTAGATCTTTAAAACTACGCAACGGATCTTGATGCGGTTTTTTTACCAGGTAGAGTGATTCAAGAGGCAGGTATATATGCATATTTATATGCATTATACATTGCACCCGCGCGAAGCCGGGGCGAGTAGCTAGTCACTAGATAGTATGAAACAAAGCCCTCCCGCTGTATGTCTGTCCCTATGTATGCTTAGATGTTTAAAACTACCCAACGGATCTTGGTGCGGTTTTTTTACTACATAGAATGATTAGACGAAGGTTTATATATACTTACACCCGTGCGAAGGCGGGGAGGGACGCCAGTTAGGTATAATTATTTATGTCCCAATTCGGGGATCCCTGTATTTTATTTTAAACATCTACATCCTTATAATACTTATCAATAATAAGCGAAGATTAGATATTCAAAAGGAGACCATGTGTATTTACTACTTAGGACTTTGGAATCCATCATACATTGTATTTGTTATATAACATAAACTTTATTGGATTCCAGCATATGTTATATTTAAAATTAACTTCGTTACGAAATACTGAATAATACCAATTGCTTTGGAGGCACGCGAAATGTCTTCCGCATTGTTAATTTCTCGAATGTTCGTTTTTCGCTTTCGTAACGTCGTTCCGTAGACGCGAGCGAAATTCCTTTCCGGAATAAACAACACACGTATCGGCCATTGTATGAAGCACAAAGGAATTTGAGCCCCATCTCTTATACGATGAAAAAAATATCGCTTCACCGCTCACAATATTGAATTTTTCTTAAAATTTTATAGTGAAGTTACATTAATCGATAACAGTAATTTGGGAAGAGTTTCATACATTCTTAACATTACATTACATTTTTATTTTTAGATATATATTTCATTATTTTTTTTTGTCGTATAACATTAGTAGCTTAATTTTTTAAAAACATTGTTTGCTCCTAAACTTGTCAATTGTTTTGTATATTTTAACTGTAAAATGTAAATCCTTTTTTGGCTGTTAGTTAAGCATAAATATGTGTTATATATGACTGTATAAAAACTAAGTGCTGTGGATTTTGTTGCTGAATAAAATAAAAAAAATAAAAAAAAGAATTTGGTAAAGTTATCATTGCCCTGAAGTTTTTAGCATCATATAACAATTCAAGGACAATACATCATTAAATGACATTTTAATGTCATTATGTGTTTCTTTTATATCTCTTGTCTATTCCAGAATACAGCGAGCGGGCAGAATAAATTTTGATAAAACTTGAATTAATTTATCGAGAAAAACTTCTTTAATGAAGACAACCATTCTCGTAAGTCGTCAGGACATGACGGGCTACTAATGTTTTAGGTGTGAGGAACAGGTGACGAACTGATTATTCATTCCATATTTGTTTAAAAAAATACATTTAAATACAACAACCATTGTTCTTCTCTTACGTTATAACTCTTTCATAGCAGATAGGAAGCTGACGCAGCATCAAAATTTGATGACGACGTTCGACGAGCACTTAATAGATACTGTTGTGTGGGAGAAATGGGATTGACAATAAATTAGTGTATTAGCTATATTAACACACGATTAAGAAGATTAAGCTTCAAGATTCTTAGCATATTAACTCTCTACGATACAAAGTCATCGGGATGAAAGTTTTATTGATTTTTTGATGTTCTGTAATTTTTTTCCCAAGGCCCCTGCTAAAATATAACAGCAATAATCACACCCAATAACATAACATGAAAGAGCAATAAAACTATTGAGTGAATTCTTGTTCATAATTTATCAATGATTCCTTATCTATAATCTCGCCAAAGGAATACGCGAATCAAGGCTGCTTATAACATTTCAATCGAATCTGTGAGATATTATTACTCAACCCCACAGAATACCGGCGTGAAGTGGAAATATTATACTTCTGCTTTTTCTCACTTACCAGAAGAAACGCAGAAGTTTATTTCCATTTCACGCCGGTCTTCCGTGATTTCGTGGTAGTTGCCTGGATGGATCTGCCCATTCCTGCAACAGCTGTTGCGAGGACCTACCACATTTAAAGTGTTTACTACCACAGTTTACTCTAAATGGATCGAATTACAAAAATAGTAATAAACTCAAAAGAGGTAAAAGGATATATTTACATAAAATTAATGTACATTGATCTTGGCGCATATAATATTTTTAATAAGAAGAACATTCATATACAACAAAAATATAAAATATCAATAGCATTCCTAATATCCCATAGATATAGTTAATTGTGTATGTTTATCTCACCGTCATTTCTTGACACGGTATAAAACTGTAAAGTCTATGTCCTTGTACCAAATATTCAGGGTTCCGTACCGAAAGGGTCAAATGGGAACCTATTACTAAGACTCCGCTGTCTGTAACCAGGTTCATGACCCGTGATAGTTAGACAGTTAAAATCTCACAGATGATGTATTTCTGTTGCCAATATAACAACTAATAAAACTAAAAACGCAAAACAAAAGCTCCCATACAAAGACATGATTTTTTTTTTGCTGTTTTTATAAATAATGGTACGGAACCCTTCGAGTGGGAGTCCGACTCGCACTTGGCAGGATTTCTTTTCAAATTACTTACTTTACAGACCCACCATTTCAAATTTTACAAACAATTATAATAAAATACCAGAATCACTTATTTCCTAAAATTATACGATATATAACGCTCGTGGGATAAGATAAAGTATTTTTACACAACTTTTTTCTTAATTTCTGGGCTGAACACGAGGCAAATGATATTTCCTTTCTTGGAAAGGACGAGCACTCGAAATATAAATTTGCCGTAAAAGAAAGACGTCCCAAGGTACTTATAAGTTATTTCTGTTATATTCAAATCGCAGTAGTACGACCCCTGAAAAAAATACGCTTATTATATAAATCCTGTAACATTGAAATGAAAGTATGATATTTTATTATTAATGTGCTATATTTTATTTTCATGTGTTGGGGTCTCGTCGGCGCGGTTCCTACTACAACACTCTTTGCTTCAGCGTCGGGAGTTATGGGTTCGTTCCTCACACGAGACAGGTAATTGATCCGGATTTGATTCAAGGAGAATTGATGTCTGGCAAAAATAAAAAAAAACTTAGGTAATAAAGTAAAGATTATTTTAAGTTTTATTTTTGTATACGCTAACTATAACTATGTATTTCGTTTGTAAATTGGTATTGTGTGATGTCCTGAATAAATGGTTTCTATTGTATTCTATTCAATATTATACGAATAACAGCTATTAAAGAATCGCTTGTGAAACTTAGCAATGGGCCAAATTAAAAAGTATCAGTTTCCAACCAACCTTTTTGACGACACAATTTTTGGCACCTACATATGTTTCCAGTACCGCAGCGAGCGCAAAGTGTTGGCAAGGCTTCACTACAATGTAGTTCCAGAGCAGGCTTTTCCGTTTGTCCTTAATAGCGTACACGGACATTTTGATCTGTGGAAATAGTATCATATGATGGATATTTCCAATTCAGTGTAGGACGAACAGTGGAGGTGTGCGGGAAGTCGATGCTTCGTAGCAGTCTGTGGGGGATGCCTGTGTTCAGCAGTGGACTCTAGCAGGCTGAAATGATGATGATAATTTAATAATATAATAGACGATACACCAGACGATCTTAACCAGAAGAACTTATTAACAGGAGTTGAGATGTGTTCCAGTAAACGTTACGGACATTTTTTTGTATTAGATCCAGTTTATTAAATGTACTCAATGTTTATACTTTAATTTTTACTATAATGTGTGGACGTCGTACGTCATTTAATTCACGGGCCCACTGAAAACTAGCGCTGTCTCGTATCGTCTGCAGAATTAAGCTGAGTGCTGTCTATTTGCCGCGTGTCTCTTTTTTAGCATTTACCACACACAAGTGTGTGTGTAAATGTGTAATGTTTGATACATCTTTTTACTATACAATTCTCTTTGGGTTTTTAATATAGGTACATGTGGCGTATTTGTGCAATAAATGTTTTCTTTCTTTTCTTTCTTTCTTACAAATGTTTCTGTACTGAGGATGTCTCTTTTAATTAGTTTTAATAGAAATGTATTACATTAGTTAAGGTGATTGCGTTATTTGTGCGACGACGTATTAGACACTCAAAAACTAAAAAAAAGACACTAATGATTACACGAATTGAAACGGAAAAATATTACATGAAATTTTTAATGGAGCTGAAATAGGACAAAACCATTCAAAATAATAGTATCAGTTAATATTTCACAGAAATATATGTTTTATCATAGTTTATGGAATAAACTTTAGTTTCTTCTTCTTTCCTCCGTCCTAATCACTTCTAGGTGGGGTCGACACGTGTGAATCATGCTGTTAATGGTATTGGCTAGTTTTTTTACGACCAGCGCGGCCGTCTGACTGTTGTCAACCCTCCATGGATACAAACAATTTTCTGTGGATCATAGAAATTATTATTCCGTGTGGTAGTCGAAACCACGGTCACAGGCGATGAAAACAATGGCTTAGCGACTGCTCCACTCTTCCTCTCCTCTCTCAGCCTATCTCATAACTGCCACAACTAGGATCTAACCTGATAAAATTCTATTTTTTTTCTCTTTTCTTTTTTTATAAACATTTCCCTTACTTTAGGATAACATTATCCTGTGTTGTAAGGACGTTTTTACATACATAAATTTCACGTGGACAAACACCCAGATGCTAAACAACACAAATAGTTGTCTCGTGTGGGAATCGAACCCACGACGACCCCCGACACCGAAGCCGATACCCTGGCGACAGCGCCACGGAGTCATCTAGTCATTTAGTAATCATATTAGTCATATAGTAATTCGCATTAAATTTAACTTTCTAAGCGCTTTGTAAGCGCTTTTGTCTATGTTTGCCTATGTTTTTCACGACCGCCTGCCTGACGTCAACACTCCTTTAGAACCAAACACCCAGATCCAGGACAATTTTACGTGGGTCATACAAACATTTTTCCCGTGTAGAACTCGAACCCACGACCCCTGACGCCCAAGCCAATATCTTCGCAACTACGCCACCTTCTTGGGATATGTTTCTGAAACGAAATTTGACTTTAATACGCACCTCCTCGATGACGGTTTGGTCCAAAAAGGTTATATTGATCTCATTATGAAATGCGTTGTCTGCAACAACCAAATGTGTTGAATATTTCGTTAAATCAACCGACTTAGGCCCTTTGCAGGTCTCGTGATGTTCCCACGCGATGTTGTACGGACCCTTAAAAGTTATTAAATTCGGGTTCACCAGTATAATATTGCAGTGCTATATTACTTTAGGTAAAATTTAATACTATCTAAAGGAAACAAATCATGTGTGGCAATCAACCGTTTAGCTTAGTGGCTAAAGCGTCGGGCCGCGAATGCCGAAGACTTTTTCTACAAATTTTAATGTTTAATCTTAAGCGCAGAGATTAGCACTATAAAAAAAATTAAAACAGTTGCATATACTAAAGATTACCGTTATAGAATTTTAAAATGCCACTAGGAAAAATATTAGGGCAGTTAATATTGGTGGAAACTACGAGTAAGGTTTATAATCTTGTTTTACTTACAAAATTATCCGAGTCTTTCCCAACCAACGCCGCGCCGAAATGATTACACAACAGAAATAATGATATTAAATAAAACATTTCGCCACTTGATTAAAATCGGATGGCTTACCGCCAAAACGTTATAAAACTCCGAATACGCCCGCCGCAGCAGTGCCAAAACGTTGAAAAGTAATGGATATTTAATGCTGAAATTAAATGAGCTAACAACACAAATATAATAAGCCAACCGAACGCCCTGTATAAAATTACATACGATGACATTTTAATGGTTCCTTATTTTAAATGATATGTGGAGCAAATAACTGTATTAATAAACAATCTACAGCAGTAACATACTCGTACATGTATGAAATGTGATAAACGACTACGGGCGCATTTGCCAAAGTATTGGATTTGGCACCAGTGGTCATGGGTTCGATTCCCACACGGGGCAAATATTTCTGTGACCCACAGATAATTCTTTCCGATCTGTTTGTTTGCATATGTGAAATTCATTTTTGTAAAATGATCTCACAACACAGGTTAATAAAGGTCATAGTAATAATAATAATAATTATTAATTCGAAGCTATTTTTTTTGGACCTGTACGTACCGTTTCTTTTCCTAGCTTTCACTTTTGGCACTTAAAAGCGACGAAGTAGCTATCTGCTGAACTAGTATACGTTAAATGGTGTGCGAGCATACTTAGTAGCAGTATCTTGGTGCAATTTTCCACTTGATCTGTGAGCCAATCTTGTTTTACGATTCTACCTTATAGAAAAACCTAATGAAACGGCCTAATCATGCAATGAGTATTAACTGGAGGCACTAGATGTAGGTCACACGATGTATTCGTGCAAAAGAGTCTTGCAAACATTTTATTTATACTGGCAATCTAAAGTTTTTTTCAAATTAAAAGAAATGTTGTTTAAATTAAAAGAAATTGGAAAAATGAAATGCGGTAAACGACAAATAAATATAAATGGTCCTTGATTATATATGGTAGATCTCTACAAAATCCATGAGATAGCAGCACTTTTGTGCGTATTTATCTTTTTTTATAACATTACCCTTAATTCAGGATAAAATTATCCTGTATTGTAAGTGTAACGACCTATTAATAATAATAAATATTATTATTAATTAGTCATAATAAAGATCAATTAAGAAGAAAATAAAACGTTTAAGAACGTTTAATCACAATAAAAGTTAATAATATATACTTAAATTAAAGAAATATAAGTGTTAGTATGAGAAAATGATATTACCAAAAATTGATTAAAAATAGTTAAAAATCACTTAAAATACTCAAAAAAGGATATTTATTAAAAATATAGCAAGATACGATCACTATTATGTCCATTAAATACAATTCCATACTTAGTGATTTCTAAGGGAAGTATTATGCGGGGACACATTTGTATGACCGCACATATGTAAGTACAGAGGTCGATCGCGACTCTTAGTACTATAGTCAAAGTACATTGTATGAACGTCCCATACCAATATCATATGGAAGTAAGGTCTAATGGATAAAAGTAATAATATGTGAAGGCTCAGAGAAAAAATATATAAATATAATGAAGAGCAATGAATGACTTGGGACTTTATAAGACATATTACTATGGAGTTGCGTGGTGCTTCTGTACGACGATATGGTCTACGGTAAACGTGGAACCATGAATGGATATGTCTTGAGTGGTGGACATATCATCGATAGCTGGTGGTAGTTGGCGTCTTAGTGACCATCACTATGATACGTTGGCTGTCATTCGGCATAGTAAGAGTTTGGTGGTAGTTGGCGTCTTAGTGTGTTGCACTATGACACGTCGACTGATCATCTGACTTTGGGGAGTCTGGTGGTGACTTGCGTCTTAGTGTATTCCACTATGATACGTTGGCTATTACTTGGCTTGGGTGGGGGTCCGTTGGTGGTTGGCGTCTTAGTGTTTTACGCTATGATACGTCGACTATCATTCGGACCGTGAAAGAGTATGTTTGGACACTTCGTGTGTTCCGAGTATATTCTAAACTTTGGAGCCGAAGTTGATTGGAGTTATATTGGTGTGGTGTGAGGGTGTGCCACCTACGCGATAGTCACATTGATGCATGCGGCTATATGCAGTACTGCGTCTTGTGGTAGTTGCGGGGTGATCTGCGCCTAATATCATTGCATCGTATGATTCTGGTTGACGGAGGTTCGAGGTGATGATGTCTGCTGAGTATGCGGATAGGCTGCATGTGGGCGTGTTGACCTGCGATAGTTGTATTGATGCATGTTGCATTTAGTGACATTGCGTCTTACGACATTTGCTTGGGAGACGACGCTATTCATAATGGCCGAGTCTGCGTCTCGGTTTGATGCACATCTCAGTAGATTTGTCCAAGTCGGGTTCCTGATGACGGAACTGCAGACTGTCTGACCTCTTTATACGTTTTATCATTATTAACGAATCTCAGTAAAGTTCCCACCGTTTGAACGAATAATGGCAACTTGCTGGTGGGTGAGACAAACTTGATCGAAAATACATTATACTCAACGTCAGAGACACTGACAAATAAATATATGTTGCCAATTATAAACCCTTCTAATGGCTAAACATAAAAATCACAACTATGGCTATATCTGACTATTTCAATGGTTGGTGGAGCATATGCGTTTACCTCATGTGGATGGTAGCTGGCGGGAGAAAACCTCTCAAGGCTGCGGCGATGCCGTGCAACGTTTTAACCATACCCTTGGGGTGAGCAGTGACTCATAACGCGCTCTGCGACGAAATGTCGTGCTAACCTTTTTAATGGTGGTGATGCCAAAACACTAACAATCACGTCTGCAGTCGCGGCGATCTGGCAAAAGTGGTGGCGCTTACGGAGGGCTTATTATATCATAGAGCCAGAGTGCCTGATTTTTAACACATGCCCAAAACCGTATTGACGTACATTCACGAAGACTGGATTTGTCGTCGGCTTGTATGACGTTTACACGCATTGACATGCGCGACTTCGGTCAAAGTTTGTGCTTACGCACTGCCAAGGGGCCAATCCCTCTTTATGCTGGTAAAACAGCTTTGCAATGGACTTCGGTCCTTTCCCCAACTTTTGTCCCTCTTCTGGGGGGGGGGGGGCAATATGTTGGTTGGCGCTCACCGCACACGGCGTTGGTGAGTGTTTTCATGGAGCCGTGTGCCTTCCCTACATTTTTTTTTTAAATGTGGGGGAGCTGTTGACTTGTATCGGGCATGTAAAATTGATGTGAGCCCTTTTCAAGACAGGAGGGATATTATTTTGAAAATATATTGTGAGCCCTTTACAAGCGTGAGAGGGAGTATACTATATACTCTGAGCCCGTCTCAAGCGAGTCGGGATTAGTTATTAAGAAAGCAATCTAACATTATCTCTGGCTTATACCACAACTAGTGAATATTTATCTATCCAAGGTACACCTAAAAGAATCAAGTTACTAAATAAACACAACGTAAATAAGGTCCTACCGAACATCACGATCACAATAATATTTATACGGCTAATTATTACCTTTAGAAAGATCCTATAGAAAGATCAATAATTTATCCTGGTCACGTAATGATGTTATATGATTTATTCATATAACGGGGCAAATATATATATAAGTTTAATTATATATACGAAATAAAAGGGGGGGGGGGGTGTGAGTTACATAAGGAAGTTATACAAACATAAATTTCACATAACACCTAGATGCGAAACAGCTATCTGTGGGTTACACAAATAGTTTTTGAATAGGTACGTTTCCCGCAAGAATCATTTTCTTACCGAATCATATCTTCAGTGTGAAGACTAGCTCTAAAACAAAAATTAGTCAACTCCACACGTCATCCTGCAAGGCCGTAGTCGTTTTCAAATCCAACCAGGCTAACCATGCTGCAGCAGAATTGGGAAACAAAAGAAGAGAGCGTGGCTCTTCAGCGAAAAATTTATGAGTTTTGTTAAAATTTTCAAATCGTTTACAAGGCAGAGTGACGGCGTTAGAATATGAAGGACCAAAATACTGTAAGTCTTGAACCTCCTATATCCTTGGATGGGGCTGGATCCTTTATTTCTTCCTGCTTAATCAAATTATGATTTATGGGTAAACATTTTTAAATCATTATGCTTGACTTTGCCGTATTTAAAACATAATTGTGAAATTAATAGAATCAATTTGCTCTTACACTCTTAGATATTATAGGAGATCTTCAAATGCAGCGGTGAAGAGTTTAGGGATATGACATCACCTCTTCTTCAGTTGGATAGGTTTAGTACTAATGGACTGTACTCAGACGGACATCGTAGCCTTATTATACAAATATATACCCTCCTATTCTTAGATAAAAAGAATTAATTTGGGTACGTGCAAAGAAATAAAAAAACGTATAAAATTATTTAACTTTCGTCCTCTCAACCGTGGCAGAACGTGAAAAAAGAAATATACTTCTGTTTAATACAAACATGGTTGATGTGGTTTAAAATGAAATAACTGAAGGTAACACAGATAATTGGTAACCTGTGAAGTCGAAAAATCAAAATTTATCGATAGTCATATTTTTTTTTAAATCTACCACCGTTTCGTAATGAGGTTCCTCTAGCGGAGAAGAAACAGGCGAAAGAAAGTCTGTAGGTGTCCTCTTTTTTGTAATAAGTACTTTTTTTTTTCTTAAAAAAAATTAACATATTATATAACTGATTTTTTTCCTTTTAGAAATAGCTTGGGAGCGAACAACTCATTCCCAGGGATTATTGTCATTAATGTATTCATTTGTATTATATTAATCCTTTTTATAAATCTTTTCTTTAATAAATTTCTTAAACCTGTTAATAGGCAGATTTTGCGCATTTACTGGGAGTTACTTACTCTATGGAGTGTAGTAACTGGCGTTACACGCTTGTGTAGGTGTTGTTGAACGCCGCCTCTATGATAACAACCTTTTCGATATCAATGTATGTTTACGAAGTTCATCGAAAGAAACTTGTTCAGTTCTCATAAGTTTGTAATAACTTGTCCAAACTTTGACCGCTTTGGACAGTAATCAGTAACGAATAAGAATTTTTGTTTGGGACCAAATAATTTACCACGCATCTCGTGGAGGTATATCGGAATAACAAACACGGTTAATAAATGAAGTAGTAATAGTGTTTATGATATCGTTTTTTAATGATCTCTAAATGTAAAATTATGCGTTACTTAAAGTTTCCCAAATATTTCTATAGATAAATAATTAACCAAGTGGGTACTAAAAACAATTTTTATCGCTTAATAATTTAAGGGCACTTGAAAATTGAAGTACAGACATTTCATTAAATTCTGATTAATGTTTGCTAGATTAACAGCGCGCAGAGTTCAAATATTTTCTTAAATTACATAATAACCTCGATGGAGAAGGGCGGGGCAAGCACGCTGTATTTTATTAGCAGCGAGTGTTTTCAAGACGGGTGTAGTGTCGCCAAATTCTACAGATAGCTCAAGCAGATTGATATATTATTATACGTTGAACCGCAAGAATCGCTCGCGCCCAAGCCATACGAAATTGACTTCATGAAGACCAACATTAATGACAATGTCTATTTCGCATTCGGTTGTTTTTTTTTTTTTTTTTTTTTTTTTTCATCACAGCTCGTCGTGGGTGTCGCTTAAGGCTTGCCAGGCCACGTTCGAATTGGAGTCTCCAGCGCTGGATTACGTGCCCTTTGTTATTGCTCTGATTGGTGCAAGAATATCCTTAAAAACATGAGTTTTCGAGTCTGATCGACGCGATCTAATCTCTACTTGCGATCGATCGATAGTAGTTAAAGGATTTCAAATCCCGGATACATGAGATGGACCTAGGATGAAAAAGTGCGCTCACAATTCTTTACGAGAAATTGTATTGGCACAGAGTTACGTGATATAGACATAGGCAAAGATATGTATAATAAAATAAAACTGATCTTCTCATCAAAACGCAGAGATATCTCTTAGATGATCCAAAAATCTGCGCGGGGATTCCTGAAAATAACAACCCCCTTTTAATTGAGAGCGTGTCTTCTGTCTATGTACACCATATTTAAGAAAAACTGTCTTCCTAACTTTAAATAATAAAATGTCGCCATTTTGGAAAGTTTTATTCTCAGTTCAGTTTGCTCAAGTCCAAATGATCTAAATAAATGGCACTTCATATAAGAACGATCTAAGGTAATGCAAAATAAAAGCCTAAATATTATGTCCCACTGCTGGGCAAAGGTCTCCTCTGTACAAAGGGCATTAGGGCATAGTGAAGGCGTACAAGGCGACTCCACTGCGGAATAGTGGACTTCACATATGTACAAAACATTTTTTTTGTTGTCATTACGAAAATATGCAGGTTTCCTCACGATGTTTTCGTTCACCGCTGAGCACGTGATAATTCGGCACTTAAAATTAACAATTTCATAGATGCCGGCACCGGGGATCGAAGTCGGGTTGTTAGAGTATATTGAATTAAAGGCAAGCGTCCGGACAATGAGTTATCATGGCTCTGATTATTCTTATTTCAAAGAGGAGGCAGCTAAAAAGAGAGAGAGAGGATTTAGATAATGGTAATTTAGGACACCTCAACAAGTACTAAGAGCGTCTCTCCGATTATCTCACTGACCGGTTGAATTCAAAAGTACTAATATATAATTCCTTACGCTGATTTATGTAAGGCCTTTGTATTTCAATTTGCCGATTGGATTATTACAGCAGAAGAAACTTTATAAGGTCATTTAATCTGGTGTTGTACTGGCACATTGTATATGAGCCCAAGTTGGAGCTCTAATTGTCCGATTTTATTAATATATAACTGTTATAAAAGAAATCTTCTTCGTCCCCCTATCATTTTCAGTCTGCATGTACTTCTATTCAGTCCGTGAATTTGAAAAATCCGTTCACTGTGCTCTATTCTTAAAATGAAATTATTTCGCGAATTTCCACTCGCAGACAATGCTTTTGCGAATATAAAAGATTCCAGAGCATATTTCTATATTAAATTATACAAAATTTTGCTCAGTTCATTCTGGTTATATTTCAGTGACGTTGTAGTGCTGTAAAAGTGGAAAGTAATGTTAGAAAATGATACACGAAATAATTGAGTGTATGCACGTAACTACGCCTACGTCATATAAGAGGCAATTTGTTATTTTAGTAACGTCACGATGTAGGCTTTTCGTATTCTCAAGTGTTCATGATTTTCCCCGTGTTGGGTGAAATTTTCTGTCATTCTGTTATTATTTTAATTATATTATGCTGCTTGTGTAGAACGCGCTTTTTGATTAGCACGTAATTTCAATGTATGTAATTCAGAATGCTTACCTATATATGTTTACGCAACCTCTATTATAGTGCAAGTATTTATTTTTATTTTGACGCAAATATAATATATGCAATTCGTACTCTTGTCTTAGTGCCGTAATATTGGTTATACAGTAGCCTCATAATTACATTATTGAATTTAAGTCGAGACGTCCGCTGCGCAAGATGCCTGTGCGCCGATTAAAGTGTGGCCACCCGAGCCAGCGAATTTCATGGCGTAAAAGTCCTTTGATCTCGTCTATTATAGTACAAGTATTTATTTTTTATTTTGACGCAAATATAATAAATGCAATTCGTACTCTTTTCTTAGTGCCGTAATATTGGTTATACAGTAGCCTCATAATTGCATTATCGAAATTACGTAGGGAAGTCTAATTTAAGTCGAGACGTCCGCTACGCAAGATGCCTGTGCGCCGATTAAAGTGTGACCACGCGAGCCAGCGAAGTTCATGGCGTAAAAGTCCTTTGATCTCGTCTATTATAGTACAAGTATTTATTTTTATTTTGACGCAAATATAATAAATGCAATTCGTACTCTTTTCTTAGTGCCGTAATATTGGTTATACAGTAGCCTCATAATTGCATTATCGAAATTACGTAGGGAAGTCTAATTTAAGTCGAGACGTCCGCTACGCAAGATGCCTGTGCGCCGATTAAAGTGTGACCACGCGAGCCAGCGAAGTTCATGGCGTAAAAGTCCTTTGATCTCGTCTATTATAGTACAAGTATTTATTTTTATTTTGACGCAAATATAATAAATGCAATTCGTACTCTTTTCTTAGTGCCGTAATATTGGTTATACAGTAGCCTCATAATTGCATTATCGAAATTACGTAGGGAAGTCTAATTTAAGTCGAGACGTCCGCTACGCAAGATGCCTGTGCGCCGATTAAAGTGTGACCACGCGAGCCAGCGAAGTTCATGGCGTAAAAGTCCTTTGATGTGTGAGAGTTAACGGAGCAAACATATGTGCCTGTGGTGTAGCCAGTAGTGCCGAATATGCCGTCGATATGTGGCTGGTGTTAGGCTCAGATAATATTCACTGTATCAGGTTGTGGTCTAGGCCACGGTATTTTATATTTTTGGCAAAATGGAACAAATGAATTGTAGCACCGAAGGTATACCCCATCACTGATGTTCCAGCCATACCTAATTAACATAAAGAACATGCATAATAGAGGCAATCAGTACTCGAATCCAATCATTACTGCGTTTTAAGCCATTTTCCACTTTTGTTTTTAAAAAGCTCCTAGCTCATTGTTATTTATCATTATGGATGTGTGTCTTGGCGGCTTTGCCACCACCTACCCACTGTCTTTTTTTAAACGTGAGTCTTGACGTCTCATTGAGAATTATTTATCTAAACATCTTCATATACAGCAGAAAAATTCTTAGCAATACTGTCCACCTAAACTAGCTTTCCAATTAATTGTATTAACCAGAAAGTAAGTAAAGTAACAGCCTACATGTGTTCCACTGCTTGGCAAAGGCCTCCTCTGTATAGGGAGGGGTTATTAGAAAATAGTCCACCACGCGACCCTTCTACGAATTGGTAGACTGGCATATATCTTTGAAACTGTTTTTTTTATTATATCGAAAGTATGCAGGTTTCCTCACGAAGTTTTTTTTTCCGCATATAAGTCTGCATAATAAAATCGTAACTTACAACTTCGATGGTGCCGGCCTTTCGCTAATTGAACTCAGGTTGCTCGAGCGATTGAAAGGGATCGCACAAGGAGGTATCACGTCTCGGCGTACTTTTTTAAATATCCTGCCCTTATCCAACCTCGTCTTGTCAATATTATTTTCATAGGTTTTTTTAGGTCACACAAATACTTGGCTCTTGTGTGTCGAATTCAACCCACGACCCGTGGCGCCGAAGCCAATAGCTTAGCTACTGTGCCACCATTAAACAACAAGCATAATAACTGATTTATTTTTAAGCCTCATTTTCACACAAGTAAATGATGACCACCCCCCCCCCCCCCCCACCACCACCACCAGATGGAGTCACGACCTGTGCAAATGTGCGGGAAGTCGATGGATGCAGATGGCTCAGGATCGTACTTCATGGCAGTTTGTGGGGGAGGCCTATGTTCAGCAGTGGACTCAAACAGGCTGAAATGATGATGATGATGAAATAATTTTTAGGTTTCCGTACCCAAATGGTAAGGGCCTGGTGACAGTAATAGGGTATTTCTGTCACCAGGCTGTATCTCATGAACCATGAGAGTTGAAAATTTTCACAGATGATGTATTTCTTATGCTGCTATAACAACAAATAAAAAAAACGAACAAAACTATTTAAGTGGGGCTCCCATACAACAGAAATGATTTCTTTTCCGTTTTTGTAGACAAGGAGCCCTTCATGCGCGAGTCCGGTTAGCTCTTGGTCGGTTTTAACAATCTTATTATATTTGATTATATTTTAAAATTAGAGTTTAATAGATAAGCAAAAAACAATTCTAGATCTCAATTACAAAGGAAACATGTTATTTGATTGTCGACAAAGTAAAGTGGCCAAGCAGCATTCAGTCACATTAAAACCATATGTTCGCAAGAACCGTTTGAAGTACAATCAATGGCCGTATTTATGAATCAAAACTTTTGTGTACAAAGCAATAGACGAAGCCTCAAATGGGACATAAATATAGGTGTAATTCGAGTAAATCGAATCTGTCAATACCTATTCATCTACAAAATAATGACATTTCTTTCCTAAATCCCCTACATAGGTCCCCCATTGAGCTATTGTTGCGAATAATAACTGTGTGTCGTTAATGTTACAATGGTGAATAATCGGCAAACGTCATTAAATATGTATAAATTCACAGCACATTTCATTTATTCTGTTCGTAAAATATCGCTTAGACTGTATAGAACTTGTTCTCTTAGTGATTCTTGTCTGACCATAATGTACTTGTAAAAGTAATGCAGGAAAAGTAGGGTGAGTTGATTTTAAAGAGGATCGTGCAGTAATTTATGAACAAGCAACTCAGTTGACTGTTTGCTGTGTTGTCTGTTAACAAACGAAATTTTAAAACTACGCGTATAAACTTGGCTGAATTCTTAAGACTGTCATGTTACTAGCAGCAGTCGATACCCAAATTTGGAAGTGACATAATAAAATACCATCAAGATGAAACAGTAAAACTTGTAGATTTTTGTGTCCTGTAAAAGATACGAGTAACAATAGATGCGCCATGTATTGCTTATGTAGCAAAAAAACAATGTAGATAAAATACTTTGAGATTTTCGTCGGTGTGGCAATCAGCTGTTTAGCTTGGTGTTTAAACGTCCGGGTGCGAATCAAGAATACGTGGATTCCCACGGCGGCGAAAAACTTTTCGTCCACTAACGTTTTTCTACAAAATTTAATGTTTCATTTTAAGTGCAGAGATTAATATTATAAATCAAATGATAATAAGGATGCTATCGATGGTAATTAACAGTGTGTCGATGAACGTTATTAGAATTGCTGTTTCGGCTTTGTGTTTTAGTTTGTCGATTTGCCTCCAAGTATATCTTGTTAATTCGAAGTAGATGTCCTTAAATCTCTATATATAAAAATGAATCTTGAAAATAAATGTGCGTTGCTAAGCGCAAATCTCGAAACACTTATGAGCCGATTTCGCTACTACCTCTTTTTTGCCAATTTCGCTAGTTCTTTTTTTGTAATATTCCTTGAAGTACGAGGATGGTTCTTACCGAGAGAAAAATTTTAAAAATTGTCTGAAAACAATATATTTTACAACAATATACTTTTCTATATTCCCATAAAAAGATTAGTAATATTACTTAAAAGTCAATTTGAACTTTAATACCATACCATAAAGTTTAAGTGTTAGTGGAGGGGTTCCGGGAAGGCAAACAATTGTATCAATATTAATGTCAATATTCGTCATTTGGTAATCATTTTTTAAATGATAGAGTGAAGTAGTAGAAGTTCAAGAGGAAGGTTTATATGTATAATACATTGCACCCGTGCGAAGCCGGGGCGGGTCGCTAGTTTCTAATAAAAATGCCTGTTTCCTAAACTTACCAGAAATAATAAATATGATCATAGTTTAAAATAAAACCATGGAAAGTAACCAATCATTCTCTTTAATAAAATTCAAGCTATCAAACAGCATCTAAATAAAATACTATAGACGGTTCCTTACACGCTATTAATATTCACATAAAAACCACACTATTTGTATGTACATTCTGCAGCATAGTTTTAATGATACGAGTGAATTATTAATAGTACGATTAAATTAAAAAGTAACAAAGTTTTAGGCATCACCTTCCAACTGGGACTGGAATTCTGTTGCCAGAAACTTTCGTCTTTGGACGATAGCATAAGTGAGTCTTCGCCTTTATGGAGTTCTTCACCGGGACAAGGTAAAGATTCCAAAGGTATATCGACGAGAGTTACTTCGTCAGTTTGAGGCATTTCCGTACCATCGAGTTTATACAATGGATTTCCTCCAAATAACTCTTCTTCGTTTTGCTGATGAAGACCGCTTTTTGTTCCAAGTTCGATTACATCATCAGAAACCTCGTCTGGTTTTGCAGTGAATTGACTTTGCGTACTCATATTTCTATCAAATGAGCAAGTGACAGCACTCAACGCCAAACGAAGAGGTTCATTTTTCGTCTCATTTTGAAGAGTCAGCATCCAAAGCAGGTGACAGTCGCAGCGAAAATTGTTACCTGGAATTGAAACTAATTTAAGAATCACATAAATAATTTCAAATAAGTTTTGAAGTGTTTACTATGTTAAAATTACATATTTTGAATCAATACAAAGATCAGTAAAGTAAAAATGTGAAGTAGCAGGCTATATACGTCCGGTTGCTGGGCAAAGGCCTTTAGTACATATATAGAGGGTATTAGGACATAATCCGCCATGCGGCCCCACTGAGGATTAGCGGAATCCAAACTCTTTGAAATATTTCTTTTGTTATTATTGAAGTGAAAACTTCTTTTAGCACGCTACGCATATTTTTAGGTGAGATAAAATCGCGACACCGTTACGGGACGCAGCTATAATGTGTGCTTAATTTAATTTTTGAATAGAGAATTTGATTTTGCTATTATATTTCCAATGAACGCAATATTAGCGCAACGAAATACAAAAGTAAAATTTATGATATTTATTATATATTTATAAGATATTTAAATAACATCTAATCAAAATTGCTTACTTATATTATTTTATTTATCTAAAAACTGTCTAACGGGCCAAAATATTTTTTTTTACTTCTGTCAGCACACCCGGGGTGCAACCTGTAATTTTTTCGAAGGTATGCTGATTTCCTCACAATGTTTTCCTTCGCCGCTGAGCACGTGATAAAGCAGCACTTAAAATTAATGATAAATTGCAGCTGGCACGGGGACTGCAACTTAGGTTGCTAGAGTATATTAAATTAAAAGCAAGCGCCCAGACACCGGATCCCGACTCTAGAAATATTAAGAGGCAAAAGAAATGTTTTAAAAATTACTATTAATAAAATTGACGTAGATAGTCATGTAAAAATACTAAAAACTTTCTATTTAGAAGTAGCTTTTTAAAAGTTTGAGTCGCGTCGTTGGCTTAAAAATGTATGGTTTTTTTAGGCTGTTGAATGCTTTTTTCGTTTATAGTTCACTTATCATCTGATACATTGAAATGTTATTATTTCATTGTTGACTCCCTAAAGGGGACTTTTACACTCGTTTATTGTCCCAAAATGAAATAGGGTGCATTGAATTAAAGCTTGGCAGGGGATTGCAGGGCACACGCTATTGTAAACTAAAATATAGTAGACATTACGTATCATTCCATACATATAATCATAATCACATAACATTCCATTATTGTTGTATCATGAAAGTTGGATTACTTATAATCACATCTGTTTATTTTTAAATTTCTTCGGCACTTCTTTAATCGAATACCTTTTTTAAATATCTTGTCTGTGTTGACAGATGGGTTTTTAAAATATATTTTTTTCAATGTGAAAAGTTGTCAAGCGAGCAGACGGTTCACCTGATGTTAAGTGAATACCGCCGCCCATGGACATCTGCTGCACCCTAGGGTTCCAAATGCGTTGACAACCTTTCGAAAAATTGGGCTCCGGCCACCTCACTCATCAGACGAAACGCGAAAGTATTATACTTCCACTTTACGCCGGTCTTCTGTGAGGTCGTAGTACTTACCCGGAGGAGCCTGCCCATTCGTGCAACAGCCGGGGCTGCTGCGTGGCCCTACCACGTTCAAATGTTTTTGTTTTTATTAAATTACCTATTAACTTACCACTTAAATATATGACGGATGTTTTTTCTTTTAAGTTTTCAAATATTGGCTTAACAGTCTCCAGTTGAAGGGAATTCAGTTCATTATTTCTTAAATCTAACAGTTTTAGACCACGAACTCCTTCAAGAAGCCCTTCATTTATAGATTGCAACTGATTACCGGTCATAGACAATTTCTCCAGTAGAGCTAATCCATCGAAAGCCCTTTCAGATAGAAATTTTATCTCATTATTGTCTAATAGGAGCTCATTCAAATTCCACAATTCTGTAAATGTCAAATCACCGACCATTGATAACTTGTTCGACCTCAGATCCAATCTTGTCAAATTAGCGAGCCCTCTGAAAGTATCCCTTGTGAGCACCGTAATTAAATTCGCCTCCAATAGTAAATCATTCAATATGGACAGATGCTCGAAGCAGCCGTCATGGGCGAGATTAATACTGTTAAAGGACAAATCTAGATATTTCAAACTCGGCAAGTCGACAAAGACATCCCTTTGTATCTCGGTTATTTTGTTCTCTTTGATTGTTAAATTAACGAGAGACGGGAGACCTTTAAATGCTGAGAAATCCAACTCTGATATTTTGTTGTTGGTCAATGTGATTTCTTTTATGGTTGACATATTGGCAAATGTCTTCTTTTCTATTCTGGTAAGCGTTGCGTAATGTATAAAGAGCTTTTGCAGTTTACTGAGGCGGTGGATAACTGCTAGAGGGATGAATGTCAAAGCTCCGTCAGATCTTACATTGAATGTGAGCTTCTCTAAACGAAGTTGTGAATTAAAGCTAGTCCATATTGGGTCACTCTCATCAATGCCACCGTTGAACACCCAGCAATCAGCTCTAGTTGCTGTATTGATTTCAGTGCTCTCGCAGTAACAGTGTACTTTGGCCTCCCTGTTTGCTATTTCGCACAAATTATCCCTCGTCTGCGTGTAGTGATGTCTCCTGTCCGTTTTGTCCCTGCGTTTTTCATTAAGCCGACTCTCGGTGTATGATATTTGAACTGAGGTCAGAGCCAGAGTCAAGAGTAAATATTTGACGACCAATTCCATGTCGCGCGTTTTCATTTACCTGAAACCATCAAAGGACGTCATGAGGTTTTTTTTTATTAAAAGCATATTTCACGGCTTGTATACACAAAAATATCACCGCAAAGGGTCGCTTTTGTTTTGTATATTTTTATGTATATGCATTTCACATTTTAAAAATTAAAGTAGTAGGTATATATAATTATGTTTATGAAGCTTTCTTTTATTGGTAAAGAGTCTATTTATTTAAATATTGGGTTTGTGTTTTTTTTTGTTTCAAATGTGGGTTTTTAAAAAAATGATCGCGAGATGAACGTTGAAGGACACGATTTTTTTTTAAAAGATAATTTAGGCCACTACCAATACGTTTCCGCGTTAACGTATTTATTTAATTAACATTTTAAACACTCTGGACGTAGAAAAACTAATTCAATGTGATGATTCAATTATGACCCACTTTTGAAATAAAACCTATTGTCCTTTAATAATTTTTACCCTAAAATTGTTTCATCGAGAAAAAGCCTTTGACTTTTTATTACTTAAGTTCTAGAGACCCTCGGCTATTGTCTTCAAGATGGTTTTTGACAATTTCATTCAGAGAGACTTGAAGTGGAGGATCGAGGAACAGGTCCGTCTTTTGTTTTGGGATTTAATTTTTTCACTTGGACTGTACTCGATTGTTTCTCTTTTGAAATAAACCTTAAAGATGCGATACTTGAAAAGAAACGGGCGAAATCATTTTGCTTTCCGCCTACTTTGTTTATATTGCGCCCATACTTCGTTGTTCTTTGAGAACAAAGGGGGATCCGTATAAATTTTTATATTACAATGCTTTTGTATCGATTCAAGGGTGTTTAAAACGCTCGAGGGTAGTTCTTTTATGGGTAGGCCCCAGTGTCAAGTGGTCGCGCTCTTGTGTTTTTTTTTGTTACTTTTGGTTCGAACACATAATTTTTGCGCGGGCTAAGATCGATCGTTACTTTTTTACGTTATTATTATGCAGATATTTGTAGTAAATATAAGAGATATGATATTGATTTTGAATGAAAAAATAGCTGTAATATGAAAAGTTTAAACCAAAATAATGGGTATCAAAAAATATAATATAAAACAATTTAAAAATGTTACGTGAGAATAGTCTTCATATAATCTCATACACTAATATATTTTAATGTATAACGACGACAGGTGTACGTTAGTCACAGTAATTCCTTACCATCAAGTGGATTAGTCACTCATCTTGTATGGGTTAATAACATTAAAAGACTAAGTGGTTGCTATAAAACACAAGTAGGCCACAAGTACTTGAAAAGATTATGTATTTAAATAAGTAAGGAAGTTAATGCGCATAAAGTAATGTACGTTATACGTAAAATTTCATCGTATTTAGGTCCAAACGTCTCTCCCAAATCTCCTCTGGGGTAGATAGAGGCTACATAATATATTATGAATGCTGTTACTTAAACAGACCATACAATTCGAGACAATTTATCTCTCGAAACCCTGCAATCCTCTTTGGCAACTCGGGAGAACATTAATTCTGTGAATACGGTGTTCTTCATGCTCTTTTGGAGATAAGCCTTTAAGTTGCTTAATATGTCTTTTGATAATGAAATACTTCCTCGGACCTTAAGCTGAATACGTTTCGCCCTAAACCTTTGAGGAAACGGTTTATTTTAAGATTATCGTTTATTAGCAAATGTTTATTATATGATGTAATTATTCCTTTAAAAGACACCGGGTTACATTTTAGAAAACTGTGTTGTTATTGTATGATAGAAATCTTATTTTGTATCAATTGATTCCGTACACAAAGGGTAAAACTGGACCTTATTACTATGACTTCGTTCTGTCTATCTATCTATCCGTCTGTCACCAGGCTGTATCTCATGAACCGTTATAATTAGACAGTTGAAATTTTCACAGGTTATGTATTTCTGCTGCCGCTATAACAACAAATAAAACAATAAAAAATCTAAAAGACATTATAAAACAATATTTATGTTGGGCTCCCATACAACAGACATGATTTCTTTTTTTCTGTTTTTTTTTTAGAGATCTCGTGTGCGTGTTCAAATCGCACTTGATCGATTTTTTTTGTTTAGAAGACAACCTACTGGTGTAAACTTATATAATTCGTGTTGTTATCGTGTTATTCAGCACATAATAATAATAAAATATCTTTATTCACATAGACGCTTGCGCGTTCTTATGAAACGTCGAAGTTTTACAATGAAATTAATGTTCGTAAGTTACCACCGGTTCGGAAAGCAGTTTCTGTTGAGAAGAAACCGGCAAGAAACTCATACGCAGAGACGTTTTGCTTTCTCCGAGCGCCAACAAATTATGGACATGGGTTTTTTTTCAACACAAAAGACCGCGCTCATCGTATACCTGCTTCGGAACAAAAGCTTGCAAAACTTACCTGTATATTATCTAAGTATTAAAGCTAGAGTTAGGTAAATTTAAAAAAAAAGTGTATTGTGAAGATTTCTAATAATTATTTTAAGCTCGCCGGACTGCGAAGTGAGTTTCAAGGAAATGTAAGTAAAGATTAATTTGTAGTGTCGTATTATTCGGTTTGTGTTAGTAGATTTTGAGGTTTCTATCCAACCCGCTGGTTTCTCAGAATTACAAATCTCTCAAATTATGGTAAGCCGAGTTCAAATGGTGATTTACTTATGTATCAGTCTGCAGTCTGTGCTAGAGGTCTATGTTCAGCAGTGGACTAGAACAGGCTGAATTGATGAGGATGATTCGCACTGCTTTATAACATGCTTCTCATACCCAGTTCTTCCAATCTTACGCTATTAGCTTACCTCAGGACAACTGGCCAAAAAGCGTCACCCACAACTCTTACAACGTAATAAAATGCCATAACGAAACGAACCTAGATTATTTTTCTTGTTTCTATTAAAAACGTTGCTCTTACTGTATGATAACATTAACATTATCCTACGTTGTAGGGGCGTTTTACAGATACAAAATTTCACGTGGACAAACACCCAGATGCGTAGCAAACAAACAGTTGCCCCGTGTGGGAATCGAGCCCTCGACCTCCGAAGCCTATACCTTGGCAACCGCGCCACGGAGCCACCTTCGTTATCGCTTATTACGGATGTGGCACATAAATTCCGAGCCACCTGAAACTGTAAATCACGAAGTTGAATAACTTACATCGCAACAGCGGCCTCAGTGAGCGTCTGCTACCGCTCAACGTAATTAGTTGCGAAGTATTTATGCGCGGGATAAAATTTGATTGATGCGCCAAACTCCGCAACGGATTACTTGAGTTTAACGTAAGTTATGCATCCCCCAACGATTAAGCCTGATATTCTGATTTAATTAACTCCCTTACGAAGGATGAGGGCTGACAGTGAGATTTCGTGAGTTCAACATGTATTTTTATCTTTTTACATTAGATCATATCTATGATCCAGTAATTTATCTGTCGGATTATTCATAAATCAACTTCATTACATTTCCTGAACTTCACTTTTGTTTTATGTATTTCTTTGGCTCTAACTATTTTAACCTTTAATTTAAACCATTAAGCCATTTGCCAATTATTTTCTAATATTGAATGTAATACCTGTAATTTATATTAGGGGTCCGAAGAATTTATAGATTTAATAAATCCAAAATTGCTATTTCTATCTACAAAATTAAGTTTTTTTTTTTTTTTAATAATTGTAAAGTCAATAACTAAATCATTATAATAAACGTCCATACCAACCAGTCCAGTACTTCCAGACATTACCAATTACATGTGACCAAATAAATACATTTCACATTTAAATAATTTAAATGTATAAATGGGTAAAATTTGGTGTTTAAGATTTATTTGTACGAGTCGAAGAATGAACACTTATTAGGGCATACCCGACTATTAATCGTTTTAGCATATTTTTTTTTATTTAAAAGCGTCATTATAAAAAGTAATCAATACCGTGCCTTGCCGTGACTTCCAATCAGGATTTAATCACTTAAAATTGGTATATAGAGAGAAGGTAGTGAAAAATTTTTCTCTTTCAGATTTTTCCTTCCGTTAAAACGTTCAATACCGTCGGAAGTATCCTTACGTCGAAGCGCCGGACTAATAAACGAGTGACACTAATTGGTGCCGAGATCCCGTCTCGGGGAAGACCGCTCACAATGAAATTCCCGCGAAAATCTCACGAAAAATCCTTTCTCGCGCCACCGTCGTTTATTAAAGGGGCGGCTATTTTTTTTTTTTACTTTAAATTCGAAGCGAGCGTGGCTCTTAAGGCTTTCGCCGTCGGAAAATATGTCACCTTTAAATTTTGTCATACCCTATGGAGCTATGGCTTCAGTCTTATCTTGTTTGAAACATTACCTATTTAGTATATAGTCCTGTTCTGAAGCCGTGTTTATAATCACAAAGTAGAAAGTCACCCACTCACATCGGTAACAATTAAGACCATCCTAGCACAATTCCTGGTTTGGATTAGAACCTAAGAGAGCAGAGAGAACTTAAGTTTGCTTAGCTACTGCGTCGCTTGATTATTTTCATGTAATAAGTTGGCAAACGAGTTAGCCGTTCACCAGATGGTAAGCGATTGCCATATATAACATCAGAGGGGTGGCAGATACATTACCAACCTTCAAAAGTACGCAACCGTTACCACATTCACCAGACGAAACGCGAAAAAAACATCCGCTTCACGCTGGTTGATTGTGAGGTCGTCGTGCGTCCCCGGAAGAGCCTGCCCATTCGTGCAACAGCAGAAACTGCTGTGTGGCACTGGTAAATCGTGGTAAATCAAAGTGTTTTACACCGCAGTCGTCGAAAGTAGTGTCGTCAGTAGGCACACTAGTTGCGATATTTAATCGATAACGAAGCTATGTTATCCTGTATGTGTATACATTAAATAAAATTTACAGAACAATTTTTTACGTTTCATGATGATACATCATTAATACTGAACTTAATTTTAATGGAAAATGTAGGTCAGATATCTAATTATGCAGATTATTAATTAGGACATCGTAAAATCAATACA